GTGTTGATCATGCCTGTCATTTACAAACTAAAAAGCTTTATTACACTGAGAACACTAAAACATTCAAGCCTGACTATCATCACTCAGTAAATAAAAATCTGCACTAAGGAGAAATCACCTTCCCAGGCTGCATAGTCGTAACTGCAATTAACACTAAGGTAAACACACTAGAGTGCCATATACTTGAAAATGTAAAACTACTAAGGCTGATTTGTTATGATAGACTACTACTCTGTGTTATAATATGCACTGGATAGTTATATTCTTAAGCACTATGGTTAAAAAAAGATTGGCTGATACAATCAAAGCTGGAAATTCTGAGGAGGAATTCTTTATAGTGCAAATGCATTCGCCCGAGACCATGTCCCAAAATTTTACAATCTAGGTTGCCACAATTGTGAGTGCCCTTCAGGCACTGCCTGAGGGAAGGGATGATCGGGGACTCCGCCCACTAACACTACCCTAGGAAACATCGTCTTCACCTCTGTCTCTACGGCAAGATAGAGCCAAACTAAGGAGGACCCAGTGGATTTAGGAGTCAATCTTTATGGTACAGATGCACTAAGGCAGATCAAAATGATGATATTCTGAAAGAGGACTAAAAGTTGCAGCCATCGGTACAAGAAATAATCTGCAGACACAAATGGTAATGCTAGATGCTACAAATAAAGAAAAAAATCACAAAGCTCCATCACACTCAGTGCTCTTGAATTTCGACTCTATCTTCCCATGCATACCAATTTAGACATTGTTTCCCAGGGGATGTTAAGTGGCAGAACCCCTCATCAACCTTCCCCTTGGGTGCTCATTCACAGCAACATAAACTGTTGAATAACTTTCGTGATGTGGAAATGGAGACTTGGTCCCTGCGAGTGCCTCTGTGCTGTAAAGAATTACCAACTTATGCTCAAAGTGGCACTTTCCACAATATTTTCTCCTTATCTGTGGCATTACCATTCATGTCTGCAGATTTTTTCTTGTACCATGACTGCAACTCTTCCTCCTCTACAATGGCATCTTCAATTTGCTCAACCTTTGAGCATATATATCAGAAAGAGTAACCAGATGAAGTTAGTTTGGCATATTTAGAATGCACACCCAACATTTCAAAGTATATCAACAACCAAACCACACTGTAGGGATTGGTCTGAGCGGGGAACATGTTCCCTGCTAAAAAATTATTCAGTCAAAATCTGTCTGCGCAAATGTAGCTCTCGGGTAACTTTCCACGCACGCTTAGTTATTTTATAAATCATCTTCCGCGCTTAAATTCTTTTGACCTTTCCGCGCATTTCTTCGGTCATGTGTCCACAGATTAGCTCTTCACAGATAAAAAATAGTTTCATATAATCAACCTTTTCGTTTGTTCGAATTTAAAATATGAAAGGAAAATATACAATTCTACTATGCCCGGGATCTCCTGCAAAGCATTACATGATTTCCATAAAGGCTAAGTTCGGTTAACAACTGAGTCCTAATACACTATTGATAACCCATTACAATATTAACCCTATCTTCATGATAGGTATTCAAAAAGGAATTGTCAAATTTCCGCGCAAATATAGACAAATTAATGTTTTCCGCGCATGCAAAAATGTAATATTTCCCGCACAAGAAAAATACTCTACAGTCTGGCAACCAAAATGAATAATCATTCATTCAGTCGCCTTTTCAAACAAAAGGTTACGATAAGACAGTCCTTCCCTTTTACCAACATTGGACTATATCCAACCGAACATTGACCAGATTTTTTTAAAAGGAAAAAAATACAAGTGCAGGTTATCCCTTAGCAACAGCTGATAATTAACAACTCCAGTGCCTTGCTTCTTACGACTTCTCTGCACCCTTTCCCATTCCCTCGCATTAAGGGATGGGCTGCAGAACCACCCTCCCTCCAAGGGGAAAATGTTGCAAAATGGCAGCAAGTTCCCCTGCCCAAAATCATGTGATAGAAGCCCTTACTTCGACCCTCGGCCCCTGAGCCATGGCAGATGCGAGGCCTTGAGCTTGGCTAATCCTCCTTTCCCTCATCACGCGGCCACGTTGCAAATGAATCGATACTCAGCAGGCGCCACGTTCATCATCCCAGCGTTCGGAGGGCTCGAGGGCGGCGAGGCAGGAGGCAGGAGGGCGGCGAGGCCTGTTTACCTCGCGCGGCGCCCCCCTGGCAGCCCGGACGCGCCCTGCAGGGAGGCCGTGCACGTCGCCCCGGGGCCTGGCACTCCTCCCCCAGGATCCTTTCGGGAGACATGAGCCAGGGAGGTTCCGCAGCTGCCTTTTCCCCGGGCGGCGAGCGAGCATGAGGCGAGGAGGAGGCCGCTCTCATGGCCGCCGCCGCCGCCTCCCTCGCAACCCGCTCGGAATTCCCTCATGACGCCCCTCCGCCTGCACGCCCCTGGGCCCAGCCTCGCCCCTCGCCGCCCTCGCCCTCGCATCCCGACGCCGAGGGAGGGGAGAGGAAGCGACACCCGGCGAGAGGGAGCGAGCGATCATCCCGACGAGATATCATGAGGTTCCTGCAGCCACCGCATGAACACGAGATGTTGGCCGAGACAGCCCTCTCGCCGCTGCCCCCGCCTCTCTCTCCTCACGGCGTCGCTCTTAGCCACTTACCTGCGATATCGAGGACATTTTCGGTGCACTTATTATCATATATTCACTAAGGAGACCATGTTTGACTCAGTCCGGGCGAGAACCGAGACATTCAACATGGAGGATGGCATGGACACTCGCCGACTCAAAGCTCCCTCGCGATTGGTCGAGCCGCGCGCCTCCATCACGGCTGCGGCTTCCCATTGGTCGGATTTGAGCCGCCCGCCAAACCTCGACCAATGGGCGGTGGGCTTATATCGCCTCTTCATTGGGACCACGTGAAGGTTATTCTGAATCTTTCCCTTTTCTTGGCCTTTTCGCCTGATTTTCGACGTGGATCTTTCTCTGGGAATGGTGAATTTGCGAGGAATTTAAAAAGCGAGGCGGGTCTTGGCTGGAAAAGTCAGGGATTTGCAATAATAACATTATAATTCGGGTGTTCATCGGAGTTGGCCAAAGGTATCGAGTGCGTTGCAAAAGACCTTTATTCTCCTTTAGGGGATCGGATCTTCTAATGAAAAAGCCTATCCACCAATAATATTTGTTTCGATTCCTGCTCTGCTAAAATGATCTAGATGCACTTCAAACATACATGAACTGTCGACTTTGCACGTACTTTACTCGAAAGGGTACGGGAAAGTGCTATAAACAAATATGCAAAATAGCAAATGAAGAAGAGAATATTCTAGAAAGCTCAAAAGTACTCGATGCTATCCGTAATTTCCCCTGATTTTCCTTCGAAAAAACTTGTTTCCCCCAATGTAATTTTCCAAAGTAGAAATATATTTTTCTGGAGTTAAATACAGTTCATTTTCGATATCTTTTCCGGAAATCTATACGAAATATTCCTGCTAATGATTAAAAAAATATCAACAGATCATTACGAAATCTCGTGTATATAACATACTTCAAAACAAATATTCATATTCAATAACATATTATCTAACCAGCTTTCGTGTGCCTCTTTACATACACAATTATGAAATCTAGCTTATGAATAACATACTGAACTTCCCAATCTAGAGTCAGAAATTTACACATCGCATAAAGTAGAAGCAAAGGGATATACTGCACGAGAGACATCAACTGTTGCTTGGCTGGGTTCACTGAGTCCAAGCAAATGACTCACTCCTCAGCGTGAGTCATTGTTTACATGATATATTGGGCATTTGTATTCATCTATACACATAAATACGTGTATACAGGTTTGTATGCATGTACGTATATGTTTATATGTCTATCTATCTATATGGGTACATATATACATATATATATATACATACATAAATATGTATAATATTTTTTTCTCCTTGCCTTTCCTCCTCTATCTCTATCCCTTCCCCCTCTCCTCTCCCTCCTTCACTTTTCATTCCCTCCTCTCCCCATCTCTCCCTTCCACTCTCTCTCTCTCTCTCTCTCTCTCTCTCTCTCTCTCTCTCTCTCTCTCTCTCTCTCTCTCTCTCTCTCTCTCTCCCTTCTTCACTTTTTATTCCCTCCCTCTCCACTTTCTCTCCTCCCTCCCCTTCTTCTCCCTTCCACCCTTTCTCTCTCTCTCTCTCTCTCTCTCTCTCTCTCTCTCTCTCTCTCTCTCTCTCTCTCTCTCTCTCTCTCTCTCTCTCTCTCTCTCTCTCTCTCTCCCTCTCACTTTATTTCCTCCCTTCCACTTTCTCCCTCCCTCTCCCTTCTCTCCCTTACATCTCTCTCTCTCTCTCTCTCTCTCTTCTCTCTCTCTCTCTCTCTCTCTCTCTCTCTCTCTCTCTCTCTCTCTCTTCTCTCTCTCTCTCTCTCTCTCTCTTTCTCTCTCTCTCTCTCATTCTCTGTAGTAGGTGGCTGAGGCGGGAAGGCACTGGTGGGTTCTCTTGAAGATGGGATGGAGTTAAAGTTGTCGAAGGTTTACATTTTAAGTTGTCGAAGGTTCACAACATTTTTGGTACAGAAGGGCAAGGCAAGGACGTCCAAGGAAGAGCGCGTCCTACCAAGCCTTCGAGGGCGAGAGAGGTCTGTCGCGATAGCAGAGGAATTGCCATGAACAAAGATAGGATTTAAACAATTCATAATGGGAAACATGAAAGAATGAGAATGAACACGAATTTAGAAAAATCGGGTTGTGTGATCAGGGGCGGAGAAAACTTTTTTTTTTTTTTTTTGGGGGGTGTCGGGAGCAACATTAAAAATTAAATCCACACTTCATACTTTTTAATATCCTGTTTCGAAAAGGACCAAATTGAAATGAAAATGGAAACTTCGATAGTTACAAACCATGATCATTGATTTCTTAAATTATGCCGACCACCAAGTTTGCCTTTGGGGGTGTCGGATTCCCCCCCCCCCCCGGCATCGCATCTGTATATGATCGTTTCGTGGAGAGGAACAAGGGATACTTTATGGTTCACATAAACTAGATATGT